TTTGTTTAGGAAGCTGAGACTCTCTGGATTGTTTCTGGGTTTCTTGTTTTCTTTTGCCATTATATATATATATATATATATATATATTATGCATAAAGTACTTATAAGGAATACTTTAATTACTGTCCTCATTTTAAATGAAGCTGTATGACTCTTTTGTAGTTGAGGTTTTAGGGCAATATCAGGAAATCTATGGTAAATTGATTATCCTTGGTGAGTGGTCCAAAGCTCATGAATAATTTAACTTCCAGTGAATAAACAGTGTCACCCCCTCCTCATCCTGTCACCTGCCAAACATTTTTCGGTGTTACAGTTACAAATGAACAGTCATTGGAGCTATGAAAATGGACTGCCCCAATTTTACAGGAAATTTCCTGTATTTTTTTATTTAATGTCTTCTCCCTGCATGGGAATCTGCATGCAGTGCCCTTGGAGGCCAGGAGAGGGCGTCTGGGACGGGAGTTACTGATGGTTGTGAGCCACCAGTGTGGGTGCTGGGAACTGAACCCCGGGTCCTCTGGAAGAGCCGTCGGTGCTCTTAACCTCTGGGCTGGCTCTTCAGCCCCCAATTTGTTCTTCTCTAGTAAACATTTAGAATCACAATTTTCCAATGACATGACACACTGTAAATTTAGTTAAGATTTATTTCACCTGCTATATTAGTATTTTCTGGCCTTTCCCTTGTCTGGCTGAATGGCTAACCTAAAAATGCATACTTGAATTACCTTCGGAGTCTTCTCAGTGGATTCACTGAAGCTTAGGGTATTCTAACCACCTGCTCATTCTGAGTGAGACTTAGGTTTTTGTTTTCTGCATTACTGTGGTGATTTTAGTGGGGTTTTCTCCATTTCCCTTTTATTAGCATGGTTTTATTTATTATTAATGTGGGGGGACACATTTGCCATGGCATGCATGGGAAGTCATGGGATAAGGCTGTGGAGTCAGTTCTCTCCTACCTTTACATGGGTTTTGGGGACCAGGCTCGGGTGTCAAGGTTGTGCAGGAAGCTCCTTCCCCCACTGAGCCGCCTTGCCTCCCTCTTTTAGTGTCAGCTAGCTGGCGCCTGACTTCTACCTCGCCCAAGTATGTGCTATTTGTGTTCTGCTTTATAATTGTAGTGTTTGCTCCGTCTTTGACTTCAAAGGTTAAAAACCAACAAACAGGCAGATTGCCTGTGGCGCTACCTGAGTCGTTTGCTGAAGAACAAATTAGTGGGGTACGAATTCTGTATCCCCTACACATTGTACATAGTCCTTCTCACCTCCAATTATTCAAGCTCATGTCACATCTCAGTTCGCTTCATATTTAGACCTTGAATTTTTTAAAATCACTTTTCATGGGTTTTCAATAACCTCTCTCTTTCCCTGCAGCCAAACAAGCAGTCAACACATCCCTTAAAGTCATTGTTTGTGTCCAGGCACTGTCTATGTTGCTTCAACTGCTTCCTGCCCAGGAAGGACCTCTGTCCCTCTGCTTCGGTCTCAGCTCCTCTCTCTGTTGTCAACCTGTTATCCTGGGGCTTCATTTCAATCCTGAGCTATTTTTTAAAAAAAAAAATACATTACCCTTTTAGTAGTGCCTTTAAGGAAAAGGGCCATCAGTAGAGAGAAAAGATGCCTGCCAGGCCATTTCAACCTTAGTTCACCTACACTGCAAAATCGTCTTGAGCCTAGATGTAGCCTAGTAGACAGTGCTTGCCTGCTGTCACAGGGCCCAGGGCTGGAGCGCCAGCCCGTCTACACTGGGCGCCATGTCACAAGCCAGTAATTCTGGCACTTGCAAGGTAGGTGTCCGAGGCCACATCCTCTGCTGCATTGAGTTCAAGGTCAGCCTGGGTGGGAGACCCTGTCTGAAAGCAACAAACAAACAAAAGATAAAGATCATCACTGTAAAAATCTGGGGAATATAAATAAGTAAAATCATTAAAAAAAAAATCTGTTCTTCACCATGCAGAATTAATATGATTAACATTGTAAACATATTCTAGCTGTGTGTGTGTGTGTGTGTGTGTGTGAAGGGGTGTGGGCCAGAGATCATTGTCATGTGTCTTCCTCTGTCATCCTCCGTCCTACTTCCCAAGACGAGGTTTCGTTGAACCTGGAGCTTGCTGAGTCAGCTCGCCTGTCTGGCCACGAGCCCCAGGGATCCTCCTGTCTTGCCCTCCCCAGGCCTGAGATCACAGGTGTATGCTGCCATTCCCTGCTTCTCTGGGTACTGAGGGCTTGGACTCAGTTCCTACGCTCTGTGTGGTAAGCAGTTCTCGGACTGAGCCACTGACCCACCCTCTTGCCATGCTCCCCTCTTTCAGATAAGGATGGGAGTGGGCCGTGTGTTCTGTTTCTGCTAAGCCTCTCTAAACAGTAGCTTCACCCACCTCTCTCTGTCACCGCCCATCCCGCACTGTATCTGAGGCCCGGTCACTACTGAAAGGCATGTCGTCATCATTTACTTAGCCAAACCTTCAGTTTTAGACATGAGATAGTTTGTAATTTTCACTGCTCTAAACAAGTATTTATAAACACTGTTGGCTACATCTTTATCCATACTAGTTCTGGTTTGCTTTTCTGTTTGCTGTGATAAAACGTTCCGACTAAAAGAAAACTGGAGGAAGAAAGGCTTCATTTGATGACTTAGTTAGGGTTTCTATTACCAAAAAGCAAGCTGAGGAGAAAAGGGTTTACTTGGCTGCCACATTTATCACCTGCCCTGTTTATCACCTAAAGAAGTCAGGGCAGGAACTCAAACAGGGCAGGAACCTGGAGGCAGAGGCTGGTGAAGAGGCCATGGAGGGGTGCTGCTTACTGGCTTGCTCCCCATGGCTTGCTTAGCCTGCTTTCTTATAGAACCCAGGACCACCAGCCCAGGGATGGCACCACCCACAGTGGGCTGGGCCCTCCCCAGATTAAAAAGAATTGCTCTATAAGCTTGCCCACAGTTAGATCTTATGGAGGCTTTTTCTTCGAGGTTCCTTCCTCTCAGATGGCTATAGCTTGTGTCAAGTTGATATAAAGCTAGCCAGTACATTTGGCTCATATTTCTTAGTAACAATCCATCACCGAGGAAACTCAAGGCAGGAACCTAGAGTGAGAAACTAAATCAGAGACCATGGAGGAAGGCTGCTTGCTGGCTTATTTGCTAGCTTTGGTACACAGCCAGGCCCACCTGCATAGGGATGATACCTCCCACAGGGGGCTGGGTTCTCCCACATCAGTCATCAGTCAAGATAATCCCCCACAGACATGTCCACAGGCCAGTCTGATGAGACAATTCTTCAACTGAGGTTCCCTCTTCCCAGGTGACTTTAGGTTGTGCCAAGCCGGCAGTACAGACTACCCGGCACAGTCCCGTTGGCTATTTGGGGAAACTCTTAGTGGTAAAATCAGTGGGGCAAAAATGTGTGTACACTCAAGTCTTGGTCCAACATTTGGGGTTCTTTTGAAACAGCCCCACTGTAGCCCCAAACTTTTCCTTGGCTCTGCTTCCCCTGAAACACTGCAGCAGATGCATTAGTAGTACAACTGCCAGAGTCAGACAGAGCAGGGCTGAAGCCTGGCCTGGCCATTTACCAAATGACTTCAGGCCGTGAGACTTACGCTGTTTCAATCAGCTCCTTTAGGAACTTTTCTATAAAACGAGAAAATAATTGCGCTTTTCTGATGTGGTTGCTGTAAGGGTTAGACAAATAGAAAACTCACTCGAAGCCCTCACCCAGCCGTGCGGGCTGAGTGTATCAGGTCTATGTCATCCCTGAGTCCACGAAAATCTCTTTCAGGGCCAGTTCTGTCTTAGCTTGGGTTCCATTGCCGTGGAGAGACAACACGATGATGCCAATTCTCACAAAGGAAAGCATTTAATTGGGTCTGGCTTACAGTTTCAGAGGTTATAGTCTGTTTTCATCATGGAGGGAAGCATGGCAGCACGCAGGCAGACATGGTGCTGGAGAAGGAGCTGAGAGCTCTCCATCTTGCTCCACAGGCAGCAGAAGGAGACTGCGAGCCGCTGAGCCTGGGCTTGAGCATCTGAGACCTCAAAGCCCGCCCCCACAGTGACACACTTCCTCCTAACAGTGCCCCTCTCTGTGGACCTGTGGAGGTCATTTTTATTCAAACCACCACTTGGCTCCACGTGCAGACATCTCCCCAGGTGTGTCAGAGTTCACTGCCACATCTCCCGTCACACTGAGTTGATAGTGTACTCATGGGCTGGGCCCTCCTTCTCTTCAGAGCACTTTGTTCTGCTGAGTATGTCTATGGAGGAAACACCTCCTTCCACCCCACCTGTGCTGTTGGTCCCTCACCGTGATAGATAAATTAATTTTCATTATTTCATGGGGCTAGTTTTTTGGAGACAGATTTTCACTAGGTAGCCCTGGCTGTCCTGGAACTTGCTATATAGACCAGGCTGGCCTTAAACTCACCAAGAGCCACCTGCCTTTGCCTATCAAGTGCTTTACTGGTGCTCTCGGGGGTTGGAGGTAACAAGGTAAATGAGATTGACACAGCATTCTCAGATTTTTGTGGTTTGGAACCCCTTGGCAGGTCAGGAGCTCTGAACGTGGCACTTGGTCCTGGCTGCTGGATGGTGCTGGAGCCCAGCAGTATTGAACCCTCAGTGGAATAGATGGGAGCAGAAGAAATTTGCAGGCCTTCTGCTGCTGCTGAGCCACTCTGGGCACTGCCCCAGATACGCAGGCAGAGCTCAGCAGGGGGCACGAGGACCTTTGTGTGCCTCCCTCATCCTCACACTTTCAACTGAGTGATAAGATGCTTTTGTAGCTGGGAGGGATTTCCTCGGGAGCACACAGTCCACAAAGGTCCCTTTCACTGCCCTGCAGATGCCCTCCCAGTTGCCAGGGGAGATGGAGAGGCAGGCCTGTTTACACTGCTGCAGATGGCATTGCAGGAGAGGGCCCAGAGGAGAGGAAGGGACCGCCCTAGGGAGAGCTCTGGGATTCACGGGGTACCCTGCCTCACCCCACCCGTTGTCTTGCTGTCTTTCAGGAGTCATGGCTGGCTTCAACATGGGAGGAGACCTGAGGGAGCCCGCTGCCAGCATACCCCTAGGCTCCCTAGCAGCTGTTGGCATCTCGTAAGTCCCTCTCTTAGCAGTCGGGTCTGAGCTGGAGAATGGGAGGGAAAACCCCGGGCAGAAGTGGGGGTTGCCCCTTTTGTTCTGACAGTGCCCTGGCTGCAACCAACTTATTTCGTATTCCAATCCTCCTTTTTACACTCGGTGGGCTGGAAAATTCACGTCTGGTGGGTTCAGACGCTGTCCTTTCACACTCCCCTGCCTGAGAATGCTGTGGAAGGGAGGGGAGTAGGTCATGAATGAAAACTAAATCCTTCCCTTGCCCCACCCCCTCAGCCACCCTGCCTCTTCTCCACCCTCGTTTTGAACTTGGGGACTTTTTTTTTTTTTTTAAAACCACTGAGTTCCCAGGGTCACGGCGGGAACATGGATACGAAACAGGTCGTGATCACAGATTAGCGTCCGCATCCCATTTGCCAGCTTTCTGAGCTTCCATAGAAGGAGTATGTGTGTATAGGTGTGCAAGCCTGTGTGTGCGCGAGTGTGCGTGTGTGAGTGTGTCCCATATGTGCACGTTATGGGTGGAGGGAGATGTTTCATATTAGGCAAGTAGCAGGGGCTCAGAGATGAGTCTACCCCCTCCCTCTCCCCCCCACCCCTCCACTTCCCCCCAGGGGTTCTAGTGTCTGGGGTTTGAGTTCCCCCTGTGCTTCTCTGGGTAACAAGTCACTGACACGGCTGTGGGGCTCTTCCATTGCTTCCCGTGGACAGTGGGCACTGTGTGTGTGCCTGCGCTTTTTTTTTTTTTTTTCACTACACTCTTCGAAAGTATTAAAACATCTATCTGCAAACACTTAACTGCCACAACTCCACTGCTACCAGCCAGGCACAGGGCGTCAGGCCGTGTGTACGAAATGAGGTGACACTGGGAAAATAAGGAGAACAGGAAGAGTCGCATGTCGGGGAGGAAGGGAAAGAAGGTTCCACACGAGCGGCCTGTCCTGCTTTCGACAGAGCCGGCAGGCAGAGGCGCCTTGGTGTACCCTGTCATTGCCCGGGTGGGAGCAGGCAGACCTCAGGATCATGCAACTTACTCATCCACACGGGGCACCTTGGTGGCAGAGCCAGGCTATGGCTCCACCTTTTAATTCTCCCCTCTGTGTATTAGTTTGCTTTCTGTTGCTGTGATGAAACACCATGACCTTGGGGAGGAAAGGATTTATCTCAGTATACAGCTCATGGTCCATCATGGAGAGAAGTCAGGTTGGCAGGCAGGAGCTCAAGCAGAGATGATGGATGGAAGGGTGCTGCTTACTGGGTTGCTCAGCCTGCTTTCTTACACGATCCAGGACCAGCTTGGCAGGGATGGCACCACCCACAGTGGGCTGGGCCCTCCCCCACCAACCGTTAATCAAGAAAATGCCCCTACGCTCACCTACAGGCCACAGAGAGGCCACGGGTTGCAGAGTCATTTCTCAGCTGAGGTTCCCTCTCCTCAGATGACACTAGCTTGTGCCAAGTTGACTTTTGTCCCTCCTGCAACAGTGTCACTAAGCACATTGTTAACTGTGCTCTAGAGACCAGAGGCTTCAGAGGCCCGGGAGATGAGTGGGTAATTCTTCTTCGACTGGAGGAAGATGGCTGGGCTTCAAGGCAGCAGGTCAACCCCGGCCAGGGTCTGGAAGCTGGGCTTCCCATTCCCCCATTTCCACACCCTTCTTTAACACAAGAACTAAAACACTGCTGCCTTCGTTTCTCTCGGGTAAGAAATGCACTAGAGGATAAGGAGTACCAAATGCATCTTCGAAGGCTGGCTCTGTGGCTCCATGGCTGGCCTTCTTCCATGATACAGCTTCCCACAGAGAGCTGAAACTTGGCAGGGTGGGGAGTGGGCTGGGTGGCAGCTCTCTCCCTTGGGTTTTGCAGGTGGTTTCTGTACATTATCTTCACCTTCCTGCTCGGCGCCATCTGCACCCGAGAGGCCCTCCGCTCTGACTTCCTGATAGCTGAAAAGGTGGGTGCGTCCTGTGTCCCCCAAAGGGCTCAATCTGCAGGGCTTACGTGTTCCGTGGACACACAGCTGCCTCTCCTTGTAGCTCTGTTTGGGAATCTGTTTTGCCTTTAGCCTAGGACCGAATGGGGGTTGGCAGGGGATAGGGGATGTGGAGAATGTGCGGCATCTGTCCATGCATCCTCAGGATAGCATTCAGATTCCAGCATCCAGAGAGGGACGCAAATGCAGGAGGCTAAACAACAGGGTCATCTTTCCATATCAAAAATCAAGACAAAGGGCGGGGTAGGCAGCTCAGTTGTTAAAATGCTCGTTTTTGCAAGCACAAAGCCCCAGGTTGACGCCCTATGATCCGTGTAAAATGATGGGAGTGGTGACACACGCCTGCAGTTCTAACACTGGGGAGTAGACACAGGAGGATCTCTGTGGCTCTCTGAGGCTTTCTGGTCAACCAGCCTAGCCTACTTAGTGACTCCAGGTCTCAGTGAGTGAGAGACCCTATCTCAAAAAAAAAACAAGGAGGAGGGCCAGCAAGATGGCTCAACAGGCCAAGGTCCTTTCTGCTAAGCCTGATGACCTAAGTTAGCATCTCTTAACCCACATGGAGGAGTGAAATGGAGATGTGTAAAAGGAGTAAAATGTCGGAAATGGAGGCAGGCAGGCAGGCTCTCTGGAGAATCTCAGTTACTCTGGTTGGTCTGGTTATAACATTTTTGTTTCTGGGGTACAAACTGGGGCAGATTAGAGAATTCCTTGAGTTCCATAGCTTCTTCACAGACTATTGGTCATGTGACACCAAGGACACTCACAAGAATAAGATTTTCTGGGGGAAAAATCCCCTAAAACTCCTACCGTGCCCCAAGTTCACAGAGGAAAAGCAAACTCTGAAATTCCCACCATTTCCTGAGGATGGTGACTAGTGAGGGAGTGTCTCATGTGAACCCCTGCACTGGTCTCCGGTGGAGAGCTGATCACATGGAGGCCAGGGATGCAGATCCGACATAGGAGATGCAACTACTTTCCAGACACATGCTTGAGTCTGGTCTCCACAGCCACACAGAGTTTAGATCCCGTAGACTCCAGTACAGGTGAGACTTGTTTCCAGAGGTCATGGCCTTAATACAAAGGCAGGGTAGGAAGGCAGAAGAGCTCAAGTCATGAGCTGGCCCAGTGCCCCGAATCTCAGACTCACTCTGGGTTGCAAGGTTTGCTTCCAAGGAAGGTTTCTCCTGTTATCTACATATTCTCATTCTCTCTCTCTCTCTCACACACACACACTCTCTCTCTCTCTTTCACACACACATGGTTTCACCTGCAGTTTGACCCCCATGGGCCTCTTCTCAATGGAGTGACAAATGTGGCTGCACATGAGAAACTGAAGGTCTGAGGAAGCCATCGAAGTAGGGAGGGGTGCTTTGCCAGAGACACCTGCTTGCTGCTTCTCTGCAGCTGCTGGGGGCTGCCCAGCTCTGCCTGCCTCTAAGGCTGCTTCTTCTCCAGCAGCTCCCTCCACAGTGCTCCCTTCACCCTGAGAGACTTCTTGAGGGAGGCAGATCACCTGCCAGGGTGTGACTCGCCTTCCTTTCCTCTGCTCAACATGGACCCACGGGAGGCCTTGTAACCAAGGAAGCCGACCACAGCGTAGCTCAAAAGCATCTCCAGAGGTGCCTGCTACAGCACCATAGCCTCTGCGGGTGGGGGATACTCAACCTGCCCACAGAGGGAACTTTCTTGGGAATGCCTCCTGTCTAGAACAGTGAGACAAGTAGGCAAGGCCAGCTGGCAGTGCCCTAGCGTGCAGACACACGCTAGGGTGAAAGGTGAAGCATGGACTTTAGGGAGCACACAAGAGACATTTTCCTGGAATGGGCCAGTGTAAGGCCCACAAAGAAAAGCAGGTAACAACCGTTCCTGGTTCTCGGCAGATGCTGGGCATATGAACAGGGATAGACCAGCAAGGAAAACTCCAAGAGCCAGCGCTCCAGCATTCTCTTCCCCCAAAGGACCACTCAAGATCCTTTCCCAGACTCCTGCTCCTCTCTTTCCCAGCGTCCCTCTGCAGGTCTGACTGAGCTGTCGTGGCAAGCACTATATTCAGGCGGTCGGTTGGGCTTTGTGAGCTTACTGTCAGAACCCAGAGAATGTCAGCTTATCTTTATTGACTGTCTTTATTGACAGTCTGTCGCCTGTCTACCGGACGTAGTTTTTTTGTGGGTTTTTTTTTTTTTTTCTGTTTTTTTGAGCCAGGGTTTCTCTGTGTAGCCTTGGCTGCCCTGGACTCGCTTTGTAGATGAGGCTGGCTACGAACTCACAGAGATCCACCTGCCTCTGTCTCTCCGGATTACAGGTATGCGACACTGCATCTGATTAGGCCATCAGCTCAGGTTCACATCTCAGCTAGATCGCTAGATCTCGGTTCTGAGCTGGGCTACATCTATCGGAGTTCCCCCACCTTTAGACTGGCTTTGGACGATCTCCGGAGGCTCATTTGCATGCCCCTCCCAGTGCTTTGCATTAGAACAGCTCTCCTGGCTGGCTCCTGCTTGGCCTCAGCCCTTCAGTGTGTGCCCTTCTGCCCTCTGGGTTTCCTGAAGCTTCTCTCATCTATTTCTTTTTTAATTTATTTAATTTTATGTGCATTAGTGTGAAGGTCTCAGATCCTGGAGTTACAGACAGCTGTGAGCTGCCATGTGGGTGCTGGGAATTGAACCCAGGTCTGTTTGGAAGAGCAGACAGTGCATTTAACCACTGAGCCATCTCTCCACCCACCTCTGATCTATTTCCAATTCTTTGTCTTCCCAACACACTTTTCCCACGTCAGGGGAACTTTCCTCACTCCCATCTTCTTCAGATGTTTTTACTGTATGTGGCAGTTGGGAAGTAGCCTTTGAAATTGCAGCAGGACACATGACTTAAAATTATTATTAAAATTAAACCTTTTCACACTCCTCATGGGGACAGCTGTAGAAGTGGAGACATTTATTTTTAGAGACACTTTGTCTCACCTTGCGTCCCCCGAGCCTAATTCATAGGTGGTCGATCCCTCTCTTCTCTGCGGCAGAGTCTAAAGAACAGTACTAGCAGGAATAAATAATGTTCCGAAGTAAACTGCACACACCCCAGGAAGTGGGTGTTTGTAACCTCGGTACACACTGCCTAAACGAGGGGTGGATGACAGCCGTAAAGGAAGAGGTGGGATTCGGCTGGAGAAGAGGGCGATTGTACGAACTTGATCACTTATAGACTCAAGGGCCAACATTTCAGTGAATTCATAAAAACAGACTGAATAGTAGTTTCATATAAAACGTAGGGAGAGAGAAGGCCATTCTAGACACAGTTGTCCAACTGCACATCAACTAGGCATTCTGCTTGGGCAGCCCCTGCTCTGACCCCAGCCCAGGGTGTGTCTGTGGAAGGGAAGCCCAAGATGACGTTATCAGTGTCAGGAGGCAAACACTGATCAAGTTCCGGGGATCCAGCCAGCACTGGGAGGTGGGGGGTGCAGGCGAGGGAGCTTCATTCCAGTGGATGTCCATGCTCTAAACGAAAAGAAAGAGTCACACACACACACACACACACACACACACACACACACACACACCCATACGCATATACCCTCTGTTCTCCCAAATGCCACATCTACACATTCAATCCCTAGATTAAAAAAAAAAAATTCAGAAAAAAAAATATTTCAATCTGTGTCTGGGTGTGATGGCACATGCCTTTAATCCCCGTGCTAGGGAGGCAGAGGCAAGCTGTTCTTTTTGAGTTCAAGACCAGCCTAGTCTACACGGTGAGTCCGGGATAGCCAGAGCTACACAGCAAGTCCCCGTCTCAACACCCGGCCCCCGACTGCATTTGTTCCAAACGTCTCTTTTCTCTTCATTAGTCCCTAAAAACGTCAACGTATTTGCATTAGGTATTACGGGAAGTAATCTAGAGGTGATGGAGAGTACACAGGAGGATGGGCACAAACGGCATCTGACTCTCATGCCCGGTTAGGCCAGGCACCGGAGCATTCAGACGCCAAGACTCTTGCTGTGCCAGAGCTCACCCTCCGCAGACTCCAGACGGTGATTGCCTCTTGGGGAAGAAGCAGTCAGATTTCTGCCTTCCCTGAATACGTCTCCCGGGAGTAAAGGCAATGGTCTCACTATGCTGGCCTGAGCCATTCTTCATACCGACCACACAGCAGAATCATCCGGGAGGCATTTTATGGCACCCTGGGCTGGGAAGAGAGTCACTGAGTTAAAATTTTCAAGACACTTGTGATAAAATTTCATTTCAGTCTTTTTTTTTTTTTTTTTTTTTTTAAGTTGCCAACATAGGAGGCCTTTGGTGGAGCGTACACACACACACACACACACACACACACACACACAAAGATTACAGATGGTGCCTCTCAGAATGCATGAAGGAATAATCACCTTAGTTTTCCTAAGAGTTGTGTAAAACACCCGGGGCTCAGATCATGTAAGGCGCCCAGGCTTCAGTAAGACATCTGGTTTGCAGGCCTCTGCTGTGGGTGGCAGCAGAGACAGGGTTCCGCTGCACTCGTAGGCGTGCAGGGTGAGATAGGCCTCGAGCCCGATTAACTCTCCCACAGGGGAGAAAGCAGCCAAAGTGCCAGCGGAGCACACAAAGCGATGGGACATCGGTAACAGCGATCTCTAATAAGAAAGGAAAGGTCGAGCCCAAGCAACCCAGGACACCGAAGCAAGAGGCAGAGAGCCACCTGGGATGAGTTAATGCCAGCCGGGGGTAGGGGGAGCAGTCCCCAGGGAATCAAAGACAAGGTGGCTCTGTAGGGGACCACAGTTCAGCCGTCCAGCCTCTAGCCACCTGACCTCCCATCCTGCAGATTGGGAGACCTTCCACTTCATATTCAAAAGCTCAAAGGACCAGAGCCTTCCTCTGTCCCTTTGCAGCCCTAACACGGCACGAGGCTGAGGTCGAATCAGTGACCACTTTAAGTGTAATGAAGGAAGCAATGATAACGAGAGAGGGAAGGGCCTCTGTGGGGTGCAGGTTACGGAACTGGCTGAGCTGTTCCTAGTGAGGAGTGTGGACCTCCGATGACCTACAGATAGGCTCATTAAAAAAAAAAATTATAGGGGGAGGGCCATATTCTTAGAGGTTAGAGGACAACTTGTGGGTCCCAGGGATCTAAGTCAGGTTGCCAGGTATAGCAGGAAATGCTTTTACCTGCTCGGGCATCTCGCTAGCCCCGTTGTTGTCTCTAAGTGCTTTCACATCGAAAATCCTGATAGGCACAGGATTTAACAATCAGATTGTTTTCATGGTAATTTGTGAAACAGGAAGTAGGTTAACCAGGGCCTTGGGTTCAGTAGGACTCAACTCTGTGGACTCAGCCCATTGCTGAAGCAAGGAAATAAAACACAGAGATACCACAGAGTTGGTATCTCTGTGGTTATGATAAAACCCTGACCAAAAGCCGCTTGAGGTGGAAAGAGCTTATTTTCCTACGGCTTTCAGTCCATCACTGAGCAGAGCCAAGGCAGAAGCTGGAAGCAGAAACCATGGAGGAAAGCTGCTTACTGGCTTGCTCCTCCTGGCTTGCTTAGATAGTGCTCTCACGCAGCTGGGACTCAGCTGACTGGGGATGGCACTGCCCACAGTGGACTTGGTCCTTCTACATCAATTAGCAGTCAGAAAATGTCTCAGACTACCTGATTCGGTGGTCCCCCAGTTAAGACTTGTGTGGATGTGCATGAGTTTATGTGCACCTGTGCGTGCAATTGCCTTTGCAGACCAGAGGGCGTCAGATCCCCTGGTTACTGTAGTTACAGGCTGTTATGAGCAGCCTGATGTGGGGCATGAACTCAGATCCTCTGCAAGAACAGGAAGCACTCCTTACTGCTGAGCCATCTCTCTAGCCCCCTTGTGCTGATTCATTTTTTTTAAGATTTATTTATTTATTATGTATACAGTGTTCTGACTGCATGTGCACCTGCTCGCCAGAAGAGGGCACCAGATATCATCTTAGATGGTTGTGAGCCACCGTGTGGTGGCTGGAATTTGAACTCAGGACCCTTGGAAGAACAGCCAAGTGCTCTTAACCTCCGAGCCATCTCTCCAGACCTGTTGTGCGGATTCTTGGTGCCCAGTGTTGTGCAGAGTGGGGCTAGGGGAGTCATGGGCATGCAAGGTCCGCTTATCAACCAGTAGGAGTTGTAAGTGGGGCTTTAGGGTCAGGGTTGAGTTTGTCGCTCTGGCAGGGGCCTAGGGCATCACTCACAGGGACTATGAGAGTCTGCCCGGAATCATAGTCAGCTAGCACTTCTCAGAGTGTGGTTTCTGGCCATTAACATCAACGTTACCTTGGGACCTTCTGGAAATCCATTCTCAGGCTCCCCTCAACGCCTCCTGAATCTGAAATGCTAAGAATAGGACTCAGAAACCAGTGGTTTTCAGAGCCACTGCGATGAATCAAACACCCACTTAATTCGAGAATTAGAGTAGAGTGCATGTAAGATATGAACTAACCTGAAAGAGTGGTTTGTGTGGAGTGGTCTGGGAAATGGGGAACCTAGCCCCAAGGCCGAGCTAGAGGAAGCAGTATTTAAATAGCTGGAAAGTGGGTGGGTGCACACAGGAGGGACAGAAAGGGTTAAGTCATGATCTGACTGGCATAGCATAGAACCTTGACGGTATCGTGAATTAAGAACAACCTGGACTTGTAACAACGTTCTGTCTCAGAAGACAAACACCAACCAACCAAACCAACAAAATTAGCAAACAATAGTTAGGCCCCAGGAAGCCTAGCTCTGGCTGCATAGTCCTGATGGCTTGATTTGGAATCCCTGGGACCCATGTGAAAAGTCCGGATGTCTTTTCATGTGTCTGTAATCCCAGGACTTCTGCAGCAAGATAGGAGGTGGCAGAAAGTGAACCCTCCAGAAACTGGCAAGTCATCCAGCCCAGAGTACGCCGCAGTGCAGAGGCAAACGAGAGACCCTGCCTCAAAGTGTAAGGCAAGGACAGATGCTCCAGGTTATCTTCCAGTCTGTACAGGGGTACGGGGGTGTCCAGAGCACTCCCTCCAGTTAGACAATCAATCAGTAAATATTTGTAAAATCTTTTTAAGAAGTTGGTCATTGAATAACGACATTAGTCAGATTCCAGTTGCTTATCACACAATGCCTGATGTAATTAATTTATAAAGAGAACATTTTGGGCCTGTAAGGTGGCTGGGCAGGGAAAGAGACACTTGTGGCCAGGTCTGATGATTTCGCTTTGATCCCTGGGACCCGTGTGGGAGCAGGAGAGGACTGGTCTTTACAAGTTCTCTGGGATGCACCCTCACACCTCCACACTAAAGAAAGTGTAGTAAAAGGCTTATTTTAGCACCACAAAACTGGTCTCCTTAAAAGAGAAAGAGAAAGAAGGGCCTGAGGCCCTGCAGTCCCCTTCCAGGGCACACCCCTATCGGCCTAAGGGCTCCCAGTGGCCCTACCTTTGACAGTCCCATTGCTGTTCGGTAGGTGCTGCCGGCTGGGGGGTGTAGTAGGATTTCAGTAGGACCATTGTATCTGGCATGAATCTGGAGTGATGGCACCTCAGCTTTGAAGTAGGCTTTTGTCAGTGACAATTATCTGAGATTTTACGGGGGGGCAGGTATTCTTTTGAAAGATTCTCAGAGCCTCTGAGCCTCTGCCTAACTTAGTGTTCAGGCATGCCTGGCAAACCGAGAGCTGCTTAGGTGAGGGGTCTTTCAAGACAACCCCCAGATAAGAAGCTTTGGCATGCAGAAGTTGGCCCGCTAAAGGTGCCTTTTTGTCCAACAATGAGAAGAGCTTCTAGGAGGCTGTTAGGGTTTGGTCCCTGAGAGGCTGAGAAGCCTAACTTCATCCCGCAGTGACTCCCTCCCCGTGGAACCCAGCCCAGGGGCCAGCCTGTGGTAATGGTGGCCCGTCTGCCTCACGCAGGTGTCTCTGGTCGGCTTCCTCTTCCTGTTGGGCTTGTACATCTCATCCCTGGCTTCCTGTATGGGGGGGCTCTACGGAGCGCCCCGGATCCTGCAGTGCATCGCCCAGGAGAAGGTGGTTCCTGTGCTCGCCTTTCTGGGGAAAGGGGTGAGTGGCTTCCTGTTTGCTCGCTCTTGTGTTCGCTCCCTGTCTCTGGAGCACGAGCTTTTCCTACCAGAGCTGCTGGACCCGCTGTTTCTGGTCTCTGGGGTGGGGCAAAGCGGAGGGTGTGGTTTTCTGTTTGTTTCTTCTCCAGTGTTGGGAACTGAATCCACAGCCTTGCCAGTCTCTCTCTCTATGGTGTGTGTGTGTGTGTCGGTATAATACATACATGTTTCCTTTGGGTATGTGCCCTTGTATGTGTAGATGTGGGTTTGGTTGTGTGCCGGGCCATCTCTCCAGCCACACACCTTATTTTCTGAAGCGAGGTCACACTCACTGATGCAGCGGGGGCAGCTGGCCAGGGATCCCGAGCGCGCTGCCACCAGCCCACGAGGGGTTACGGGTGCAGGTCCCCATGCACAGACGACTCGAGTGCTGGGGTGTGAACACCGGACCTCGTGTGGCAGGCCTCTACCGAATGCCGTCTCCTCAGGCTCCCCGCTTGCTTTTCAGATCGGACCCCTCTCCGCCATATTTTCACACAACAGACAGTTCTCTTAGCACCTAGAAATCCGTCCTCTGTATTAATTTAAAGAGGATTTTCTCGTTCTTTTTTCCATTACGTACAGGGCTGTAGTGGGTAATTCTCCCTCTCTACTCTACAGCTATGTGTGTGTGTGTGTGTGTGTGTGTGTATGTGTATACATATATATGTGTATATATAATCACATCTGTAATGACAAATGTTTTGACTCAATCTTTTTGCGTGTGATAATTTAAAAAAATTTTTTTTCTTTTATTTGTTCTTTGGTAGCTTCATACATGCATGCAACATATCTTGATTACATCCCCCTCTGATTCTCTTTTCCTCCCCTCCCCCAAGAAGTCTCCCGCTTTTATGGCCTTTCCTCCCGTTTGTAACCCCCTCAGTCCTGTTGGTGCTGCCTGCTGGAGCGTTGGCTGGGCCTGGGGCTTCATTTTGTGCGGGCCTTGATAGCTGAGGTTTGTGACATGCCACGTCATGCCCAGGGGGCAGCGTTGCGCAGTACTCTTCCCCATCCCCCAGCTATTCCATTCTTTCTACTCCCTTTTCCAGGATCTTCTCTGAGCTTTCGGGGGGGGGGGGGTTGAGTGCCGTTTAGGGGTGAGCACTCAGTGATCACGTGTTCTCATCACTGGCTTATCGCCAACCGTGGCCCAGTACAAAAAGCACTAACACTTAGTAATAAATATTAAGAAGTAATAAATAGTTAACACTTAGTACTAAATATTTGACAACATGTTTATTTAGCAAAACAACAGTAGTAGGTTGTGCCTTTGGGATCCATGGCCCTCCTAGCCGTGAGCTTTTGACTAGCTTATAGGACCAGATGTAAATTCTTTTACATGGAAGGTGGTTGGTACCTCCACAGCTGTCATGCCACTATCGCTCCAGTGGGCACATCTCCATAGGGGTACATTTGGGGCTCACTGCTAGGCAGGACTATGGAGGAGTTTTCCCTCCGAGCAGCCATCTGTTGGCACTATGCTAGCAGGGAAGAAACTGAGAACGGTTCCAGCTTTGTTCTGTGTCCCGCAACCTGAATGGGCTGTGTCTTCAGCAACAGGACCTCACCAATGTATTAGTTACAGCTCCGTTTCTATGATAAGATACCACAACCAAAAGCAATTTATGGTTGGAGAACCTTAATTTTGCTTACAATTTTTGTTCAGTAACCCATGACTTCTCAGGGAGGCATTGTCCACCCATGCAGCATGGGCAAGGGCCATCTGTGTTTCAAACTCCTCCTTTTTAAGTATTTAAATTAGCTTACAAAGTAGTGGGTTTTCATGATCCTTAGTTTTAGTTACCCTCCTCCCCTACCCCCCTCCCCTGTCCTTTAACCTCTACTATTTCCCACTCCCTCCTTCCTTCCTTCCTTTCTTCCTTCCTTCTGTCTTTCCTTCCTTCTTTTTTCCATTCTTCCTTTCTTCTTTCTTTCTTTCTTTTTTGAGACAGAGTCTCACTGTGTAGCCGGTTCCATCCAGTCCCTGTAAAGTTCATGACCTCACTCTCCTCAGAGCAGACGAGCATACCCCGGAGCCCACGCTCCACTGTCACTCTCCATTCATCAGCTGATGGACAGCCAGGCCGAGTCCATTTCCCAGCCATCGTGAGTAGAGCAGCAGCGAGCATGGACATACATATTCACATACAGAGGCACACACTCAGGTATACATAGAGACACGCCCCTAACATACAACTCACACACCACACACATACACACACACACTCACACACTCACACACATACACACACACATCACATGTACAGATAGACTCAGACACACATACACACACCACACAAACACACATTCATACATACACACCCCTCACACGCTCCCCATTCATACACACTCACACATTCACAATCATACACAGACTCTTCACACATTCACACACTCACAAACACTCACACTCATCTACACACATGCATATACAGACACAGTCACACACACTCATACACACATGCACACTTGAGCGCACAGTCACCCATGCTCACATACACACTCATACACATACATGCCACACATGCTCACACACACCACACACACACACACACACACACACACACACACACACACACGCACACACGCACACTCATGTACATACTCCCCCCTACAAGCACACACTCACATACACACACTCATAGACACATAACACTTAAACACACTTGGGAACACATGCACACTCACACACACATACACACTTTTATAAAGGCTCATAACACACGCGTGCGCCTGCACGCTCACAGAAAACTGAACGTGTCAAGTGGATGGTGCCGGTGGTTAGGCCAGAGTCAGACCCGCTATGTAGACGCCCTCACAGGTATTCATGTGCCTGGCGTCTCTTGCCCGGTGGAGCCGACAGTCGACGTTAGCCAGGGTTAGCCGAGAGTTAGCCGTGGTTAGCGGAGGTTAGCCATGGTTAGCCAACAGCTAGCCGTGGTTAGCTGAGGTGCGGCTCTGCTCGGCGGCTGGAGGAGGCCACAGACGGGCACCTTCCTCTCTGCCGTGTCCTGCCAGTGGCCCTCAGCCCCTCCGCAGCGTGCAAAGGCCCTCACCATCTAGAGTCAGGCTTGGGGTGAGGGCCACCCTAGAGTGTGAGGCCCCCATTGTGCTCTACACCAAGACGGGGGTAGAATTTGTGCGTGGGCTTCTGCTGATGAGGAAGGCTGCCTGGGCGGTGGTAGCGCTCGCCTGTGATCCCAGCATTGGGGAGGCAGCGGCAGGGGGATCGCCGTGAGTTGGAGGCCAGCCTGGTCGACAGAGGGAGTCCAGGAGAGCCAGGGCCACACAGAGAAACCCTGTCCCCACCAAACAAACCAGACGATGGCCAGGGAGCACAGAGCTCTAGGCTTCTACCTGGTCTTCCTTATCACATAGGTGTGTCTGCCGAGGAAGGAGGATGGACACATCCGCTCAGCTTTGTCCTTAGTTTGGTCTGTCGTTGTGAAGATTTAGAAACGCTGTGTGTGAGCCTCACTGGCACCCTTGCCTTGAGTGACAAGGTCAGTGTTAGGGGGGAGCATAGCTTTGGCCCATCATTAGTGAAACGTTCAGCCGCACAGCGAGAGCTGGCCTTTCACCAGGATTTGTGTTTCCCCCACCGCGAATAAAGCTGACTGTCTCCTCCTGTTTTGTTGCCGTTTGCATCTTTCTTCTTCTATCGTAAGGGTTAATCAATATCTGGACGCTCTTCATTAGGAGGTTAACCCTCTGTGACTAGTGTTTCAGACACTTTTCCTGGTTTGTCATGTCCCCTGCCCCCCAAAAGTGTCTTCTTATATGATTAGATTCTATTTGCTTGTCTCCTTCTTCAATGGTGGAACACTAGAAACTTAGACGCACTTTTGAGGTACAGCTAGCACAGTAGGAAAGGTCCCCAAATCAACGGGAACAGTCTTAAGAATAACTATGAGGTAAGCACCGGGTAGGCCTCCACCCAGGAACGCTGCCCACCTGACCCCTACCCCCACTCTACCCCATACCCCTATTCCCCATCCCTACCCCTACTCCACCCTCACCCAGAGAGGCCCTTTCCTCTTGCTCCACGCCTTAGACTCCTGTGATGGGCTTTTCTGAGGGAGCTGCAGACTTCTCCTCAATCATGAGGCTGCACATCCCTCAGGCGTGGCAGGCCCCTCGGCCTCACTCTCAGGTGCTTTTGTCCTGCTCCTGGAGCTCATGAACTGCCACAGGGAGTACCCACCCCTCGACCAAGGACACAGATCTGAATGTCATGGAATTCATGCCACAAGACACTGTTCTTACTGTGATTTCCCCCAAGATGTTTAAGAAGGCAGAGCCACTTGTAGCTCCCGGCACACACAGACTCTAGGATCTGGCCCTGGGCACCTCGGCTTGTGACAACGCTCCTTCCGTGTGCATCCGTAAACAGCTTGCCTGGTTTTGAAACCTTCCAGCACACATTAAGTATTTCGTACCTGTACTGTCTGGGGCCAGAAGGTCTTATTTGTTTTACATTTTGGGATATCTCTGTATCTACAGTGCAGTATCTTTGGGGCAAAGTCTCAACCCTCAGTTAATTTATGTTTCACACACACCTAGCCACCTAGCCTAAAGGTAGTTATACGAACCACAGCTTTAAACATTTTAGGGCAAGCAACGAAGTTTCACAGTGTGGGATTTCCCAATTAAATTTCCATACAAATCAAATAGAGAGCTTCCTAGAATTCCATTATTTGAGCTACAGAATTTTTACACTGAGCACACTCTTGGCTGTACATGCATGGGTGTCCTTCTATGCTATGCTATCTTCCTCCTCATCATGTTTGTGAGCAGCCGCCTCCTCCTCTTTGCTGTGGTGGCAGCTTCTTATGGGGGGGGGGGGTGTCTGTGGATGTCTCTTGTGTTGGATGTAAACTTAGACGGCCCCCAGACTGCATTCCCGTCAGCAGAGGGCCTTCTCAGTGGATCCAGCGTCACACGGTGAGCAGCGCCCGGCTCTCTCTCTCCAGGGATATGTGCTAACTTGGTGTTTGTACTGGCTGCTGCTGCAGAGGTGGGCGGGGCCTTCTCAGCCTCTGTAGTCATCCATGTTTGCCCATACCTCGCTGTGGCTGAAGGCTGTTCTAACTACTGATGAGGTCGCTCATCTTTTCACATGGTTAATACTCTTTGTAAAGGGCCTGGGCAGATCTTCTACTCATTTTGCTGAGTGGGCTGCCTTTCTAACAGGACTTTTATGACATGACGTGTTTATTTAGTGTGCTGTGTGGGTTCACTCTTTGAACTACAGCATGTGTCAGAAGACAACTTTCAGGCACTGGCTCTCCTTCCACCATGTGAGGAACTGGGTCGTGACAAACAGCTTTACCTGCTGAGCCATTTCACCTGCCTGTCTGTCTTTTTTCCAGTTATGCTATAGGGATTCACTGTCTGTTTTCCACATCTTTCGACCAGTCTATGGACTATCCATCTCTTGGTGGAGAGAGGCTCTCACTGGCCCCTTTTATTGGTTCACAATCAAGCTCTTGGCCTAGGCTAGCATTTGGCCTCAGCTAGGCAGCTGATCTGAAACTTCTTTTAAAGTTATGGGTTTCTTTTTAAAAAATGGTTTATTTATTTTTTATTTTATGTATATTGGTGTTCTGCTTGTATGTGTGTGTGAGATAGAGGATGTCAGCTCTCCTGAAACTAGAATTCCAGACAGTTGTGAGCTGCCATGTGGGTGCTGGGAATTGAAGCCAGGACCTTTGGAAGAGCAGCCAGTGCTCGTAACCACTGAGCCATCTCTCCAGCCCCCACTCAGTTATGAGTTTCTAAGAACTTACTTTATTCACAGTCATTTTATTGTTGGAATCTGCTAAACCGTTTTAATAAAATGCACTGTAAAACTAACTCCCAAACATAAAATCTTTCTCTTCCTGCTTCCTCTCCTCCTCTCCTGTCCCTTTTCTCGTTTTTAAGGATTGTCCTGGGGGAGGGTTTCAGGTCAGCATGGGTTCTGGTACACCCTTAGAACACACAGCCCCAGTGTGTGTGTGTGTGTGTGTGTGTGTGTGTGTGTGTGTGTGTGTGTGTAAGAGCCTGGTGAATGAGTTTAGGCGGGGAAAGTAATAGTATGGAGGACAGGCGAGGCCCCTACTTTAGCTGCAGTCTCTGAAGCACGGAGAGTGGGCTAGGAAGACTGGGAGGCTGGTGAGGAAGGAGGCAAATGGAGCCGGGGAAGGGTCATCCCCGGGCGAGTGAAGTTGCTCAGGAGCAGAACATGGGACTGCCCCGGGAGTGCTGCTCTGGCTCCAGAGCCACATGAACCAGCTCCCCACTCCCATGCCCTCCTCCACGAACGCCAGGCCTGTGTGACTGTATGTGAGTGCATGCACACGTATGTTAGTGACATGTTCCGGTTCCGGCCACCAGTGACTCTGCCATGCCTTCTGGGAGGGCCTGGACAGCTTGTCCACCCAGACTGGGAGAATCACATAGGGGCTTTCTCCCTGCGGGAGCTGAAACACTAAGACTTTTAAGGTTTGGATATTATTTTTCCAAGTTTCCAGGTGAGCGGTCATGTGGAGAGAGGTTCCCAAGACGTTATATTTGATTTCTATCAATTGATCGTAAAACTCCCGACTGTATTTGAAATGTAATCCTGTATTGTTGTTGTTGTTCTCGTAGAAAGGGCCAAATAAAACCCCCGTGGCAGCCATCTGCCTGACCAGCTTGGTGACGATGGCCTTTGTCCTCGTGGGCCAGGTGAATGTCCTGGCGCCCGTCGTCACCATCAGCTTCATGCTGACCTACATCGCCGTGGACTACTCTTACTTCGCCCTCTTCATGGCCCATGGCGGCCTCCCCCAGTCTCCCAGGCCGCTGCCCAAAGGCCCGGATGCTCTGCGCCTGGGCCAGGACGGGGTTCCCAGCTATGGCTCTGACACCCCGGCTGGCAGCCTCTCTGAGGGCACCCTGCTGGAGTTCACCAAGGGCATGGATCAGCTCCTCCAGCCGCTAGGGGGGCTCGGGAGTAGTCGGCGGGGGTCCGGAGAGGGTGACCGGATCCCGAAGAGGCAGAGGAGCAAGTGCAAGAAAGGCACCAAGCGAACCCTTCAAGACAGCTTCCTCCTGGAGCCCAGGTCTCCTTTGGCCTTCCCTACGGAGGCCTCTGACAGGCCGCCTGCCTCCTCCTGTGGTGAGCAAGACTCCCTTCAGGACCAGCAGACAGCTAAGTGTGAACCACGTGACCAAGCTGTCCCTGGTCTGTGCACCCAGCCTAGGGTGAATGGAGAAGGTAAGTGCTTTGGGGCCTCCTAGCGTGGAGCGATCACCACTCACCTCAACTTACCAGTTATTCCAACCCAGTTTTCAAAACTAACTTTCGGTTATTTATCTCAAACAGTTGAAATTCAGAGGCCAGTTAAATTATTTATAATTCTACGGTGTTATATATATATATATATATATACACACACACACACACACACACACACACACACACACACACACACACACTAGCTAATTTTAGACAGAACTTCCTCTCAACTGTGCATCAGAGCTGCGAGGCAGCTCTGGAAATAAAAATGTTACTTTCCTTTTACTCAAAATCCCGCTGAAATGGAGCCACTGCGGGCCGAGGAGGGCTCGCTAACGGGCTCACCGGGTTTTGTCAGTAGAGGGGAGCTCTCACAAACCAGGTACCATGGGATGAAGGGACGGTAGCTAAAGAAGTCAAGCTTTTCTGAAAACTGCCAGCGCAGAGCGACAGAGAAAGCCATGGAGAGCATGGGAAGTCCTGAGAGAGAGGGCAAACATCTTTGAAGACCTGCCACCTCCAGGTGCTGTGTATCTCGCTGTAATTTGAACCTAGAGTGTCACCCGAAGGCCCAGTGTAAAATGCATGGCTCCAGGATGGCTCCATCGAGAGGTAGTTGAACTTCTAAGAGGAGGAGGAGCCTAACAGGAGACCTTCAGGTCACTGGAGGTCTGCTCAGCAAGGGACTCTGGGGGGCTAGTGTTCTCTCTGCTCTCCTCTGCTCTCTGGCCCGTGAAACAAGCAGGTTTTATCCTACCACATGTACCTGCTGTGGCGGGCTGCCCAGCCAGCGGTCCCAAAGCAGTGGGGCCAAGGAGTCCCGGACTGACTCCTTTAAAACTGTGGGCCAAAACAAACATTTTTGCTTTCAAAGTTGATGAATTAGTTAACTTCGTATCACTATGACAACAGGCCCGAGAAAACAGTGTAAGCCGGGGAAGGAACTTATGTGGGCACCCCGTTTCAGGGCTTTCTGTCCACACTCAGGTGCCTTTACTGTGTTCGAGTCTGTGGTGAGGTTGAAGCATCACAGGGGAAAGGCACAACACTGTTCACCTCTCAGCAGTCAGGAAGCAGAGAGGAAATCAGAAAAGATCCAGGGAACCAGTAACATGCTTCCTCCAACCAGGCCGCACTTCCTAAGAGTGCGCTCAGTGTAGACTCATCAGTGAATTAATTGGCCCAGTCACCTCCCGGTAGCTCTTTCAGGCTGGGGCCAATCCCCTAGCACATTAAGACTTTTAGGAGGACACTTCCCATTCAGATCACAGATGACTGAGCTGATGGCCTCAGCTGTCTGATACAGCGACAGAGGCTGACTCACATTACTTCATGTAGCATGATAGAGACCGTCTTCCAGCTTACAATTGAAGACATCAGTGACCTGACAGAGGAGGTTGAACAGATTCTTTGTGCGACCTGATAACGGCTCCAGGTGACTGTGTGCCTTTGATGTCTAGGAACTCGGTGTTACACCATCTCCTGAGATCTGTACAGATAGGCGTAGGCAGAGGACAAGACAGGGTCATAGAAGGAGGTGGCTGAAAGCAAGCCCTTGGTGTTCTCCTACCAACTAGCTTTTCCTACTTCCCTTCTAGCTTGGTGGCACGCTTTTAGTGGTAGGGGTGTTATTAAAATGAACATGATTAAAATGTAAGGCATTGTTTTATTTTTTTATCAAAATCGTAACTGTATAGTTTAATAAGCCAAATGACATTAAAAGTTACGTTGTCAGGAACAGTGGTTTCCACACTTTCACACTATCCCCCCTTTGCCCTTCACCACCCCCAGTTCCACCCTAGAACAAGCTATTGCTTCTGTTAGCCCTTCTGTGATTAATAATATCTGTATTGCTTGTTTAGTTTTATGAGACAGGGTCTCACTGTGTAGCCCTAGCTGTCCTAGAACATACAGACCAGGCTGGCCTCACACTCACAGAAATCCCTTGCCTCTGCTTCCTGGATGCCTGGGATTAAAGCTGTGTGCCATCGTGCCTGGCACACCGCAGATGATCTCTCTACCACACATCTCTTATCAAATCTAGGGGGCGGTAAACTTCTTGGCTGTGATAGCACAGTGAACTTTTGCCCTTTCCGTCATTGGCTGTCCTTTCTGTGTCGAAGAATTTCCGACATGATGAGTCTTGGGGGCAGGCAGAGGAAGCGTTTCACGCTCCAAAGCCATGGATATCAATACTCAGCTGCAGCCAGAGTCCAGGCACCAGACCAAGGACGCGCTGATCACACAAACCCTCCTTAGAACGGGGGACTGGAAAGTTGAAGAACTGAGGACAGCGGGGAGTGTTCTGGAAGGACGCTGGACAATGCAGGACAGCGCAATGCCGCAGCGGAGGTATTCCCATATCACGCTGTTACACACCATTTTCGGGCATCGCTTACCCCTGACCTCACTCTCTACCCCTTCCAGCCATTCTCGTGGCTCCCCTTTTTAAAAGCTGTAGTTAAAATGCACTCAATATATAATCGCTATCCGAGCCATTTCTAGTACTCAGGCTAGTGCTATTAAATATATTTGTGTTTAAGTTAGACAGCTCCTACCACCGTCATCTCCTAGCTTTCTTCTGATAAAACTGAAACTGTACCCACTGAACAGTAGCTCTCACTCTCTTTAGTGGGCTCATGACTCACTGTTGGGGAGTGGACCCTGCCGAGCTCACAACCTTAGTGTTGGAATGATGACTGTGCGTGTTAATTTTTTTGTTGACGAGAGTCAAGCGGTGGTGGTGCACGCCTGTAATCCCAGCACTCAGGAGGCAGAGGCAGGCCAGTCTCTGAATTTGAGGCTAGCCTGGTCTATATACAGTGAGTCCTAAGACAGCCTAAGGGCTACACAGAGAAACCCCATCTCAAACAAACAGACAAACAGAAAGGTTTTTGTTGACACAAGCTAAGTCATCTGGGAAGAGGTACCCTCAGCGGAGAAAAAGCCTCTATCAGATTGTCCTATGGACAAGTCCATCCCACAGAGGCAGCGCCTCCCCTGGGCTGCTCGTCCTGAGCTGTATAAGAAAGCAGGCTGAGCAAGCCACGGGCAGGGAACAAGCCTGTAAGCAGCATCCATCTGTTGCTTCTGCATCAGTTCCTGCTCCCAGGCTTCTGCCTTGAGCTCCTGCCCTGACTTCCTTTCATGATGAACAGTAAGCTGTATGACGAATAAACTCCTTGACTCCCAAGCTGCCTTTGTGCGTGGAGTTTAATCACAGCAATAGAAAGCTAACTAGAACTGTGACTGACCTGGCTTTGTCATCTCTGAGGTTTTAGGACATCCTCTTTCTGTCGCCTCTTAGTTCATCCTTTTATTCAGGAAATTCTCACATTCTTTAGCCTGGAGACAGGATGCGGGTGTGCAGGGGCACTCTTGACTCCAGGTGTAGGGGGTATAGACTTCAGGTGTAGATCCTTGTTCAAAACAAACTTCCACCACTGATTTCAAGGCCTCTGGTTCTCTAGGAACAAGACCTTTCTGTCTCTTCGGTTTTTGTTTGCTGTGTTCTAAGATCTCAGGCTCTTCTTATATAGCCCAGGCTGGCTTTACGGTTATTATGTATCACTTAGCCTCCCTCATCCTGCGATTACAGTCATATCCCACAATCCCCAACAAGACCTTTTATCTTTGGAGATTTCTTTCTCTCTCTGTCATCCATGATGTTGGATATTGTGTGTATTTTTTTTCCTCATTCCACAGTATTTTCAAGTACATTATGCATATTTCTTTAGTTCACTTTCCAGCTTTCCTTTGCATTCAGTTACCTAAAACTGTTATCTGTTCTTAACAGGGTTAAAACTGCACAAGAAATATGTGAGTCAGCTCTTGTCCTGGAACAGGACACGAGCAGACACAGCCTGGCCGAGTCATCCTGAGCCCAATCCAACGGCTGCTGTTTTCATTGTTTTTGTTTGTTTACCAAATTCACACCTGCTGACTGATTTCCTTGACAATTTCCCGAAGCTCAGCCCAGCCACTCCCCTCCCTCCCCCAACCTGTCCCTCCCTCACCATTCTATCTTGTAAAGCGGTCCAGTTTTCCTGTCATCTTGTTCTCCTTTCTGGAATACATCACGAATTTATTTCCCAGTTTTTCTGGTGTGTGTGTTTTTTTTAAGTGCCTGCTGTGTCTGCTATAATGAGGCTTGATTACCAATAAGAAGGATAACAAACAGTAGTGATTTAAGGAGCCCCCTACAGAAGGATCCAGAGGTGGGCAGAGCATGGCGGCCATAGCAACTCCACAGCCCTGAGTGACTCAGAGCCTTTCTTTAACCCCCCACAGTTAGCACATTGTCCTGTGATCCCAGGTGTGGCTGCTGGAGCCTTGCCCTCACATCATATGCAAGCAGTAGCAAAAGGAAAGAAAGAAGCACAGGAGATGAGCCTCCAAAGTCACATGGGCCTTCCTGGAAAGCCCATTATGCCTGGCTGTGTTGCCATGGTTGGCATTCAGTTGTGTGATTGATTAACTCAAGCTGTAAGACAGGCTGACAGATGTCTTTTTACCCAGCGTGTTGCTGCTTATAAAGTGGCAAGTTGCTTCTGTGTTCTTCACCAGGAAGTCTGGGTAAGGTGCAAGCTCTCAGTCTGTGCCATGCTGCACTGTGTTTAATTTCTAGGTGCTTTGTTTGTAACAAGGCTTATCCATATCTTCACTTTTTTTTTTTGCTTTGAATTGATCCTTTGTTTGTTTGTTTGTTTTATGGATACAGTGGCTTCTCTTGTGTCCTTGACATGTATCCTTACTTCCTCCCTGTAAAATCTTTCTGCTCTGGAACTTGTCCATGTTTTCTCTAGATTCTTTTCCCTTTGGTGTCCTCCCCCTCCCCCTGCTTCCCTCCCCCCTCCTCCCTCTCTTGCTCTTTCCTCCTTCCATCCTGATCTCTTTTATTGCAAACTTTTTTTAAAAAAAAACATTGTTTATACATTACATTCTGACCACGGTTTCCCTTGTCTCCTCCCAGCTCTTCC